TATTCAGCGCCCTGTGGGTGATGTTTTGCAGTACGCCTGCGGTGTGTATTTATTCAGCGCCCTGTGGGTGATGTTGTGCAGTACGCCTGCGGTGTGTATTTATTCAGCGCCCTGTGGGTGGTGATGTGCAGTACGCCTGCGGTGTGTATGTATTCATCGCCTTGTGGGTGATGTTTTGCAGTACGTCTGCAGTGTGTATTTATTCAGCGCCCTGTGGGTGATGTTGTGCAGTACGCCTGCAGTGTGTATGTATTCATCGCCTTGTGGGTGATGTTGTGCAGTAGCCTGCAGTTTGTATGTATACAGCGCCCTGTGGGTGATGTTGTGCAGTAGCCTGCAGTGTGTATTTATTCAGCGCCCTGTGGGTGATGTTGTGCAGTACGCCTGCGGTGTGTATGTATTCAGCGTCCTGTGGGTGATGTTGTGCAGTAGCCTGCAGTGTGTATTTATTCAGCGCCCTGTGGGTGATGTTGTGCAGCGCGCCTGCAGTGTGTATTTATTCAGCGCCCTGTGGGTAATGTTGTGCAGTACGCCTGCAGTGTTTAATCACCCTGCCCTGTTGCTGGGCAGGTTACCCTGTTAATATGGAGCTAGCTGGCCTGCCTGGGGTTTCACTTCGGAGCATAATTCCATCTGACCCTGAGTGGAGCGGCAGTCCTAAGCCATGCTTGGCTCACGATAAGCCTAGGGCAATTAGCATCGTATCCACGCGGGCTCCATCATTCGGGACGAGGGCACACTTGATCTGATATTGCCATCCAAGGTTCAACAAAATCCTCTCAAGGATGATGAGCCCCCTGCTGTACAAAACATATTGCAAAAGAGCAGCATGGTATTGAATTATACAGATTGAAACACTAGATGGGACACTTTGTTCCATGAAAGGTTCTAATGTTCCTTAAACATACACCAACACAGCAAAAGAGCATTAATGGCACAGAAAAAAACAGAGGCCCTGGGGCTGAATCCAGCCATTTCCATTTTCATTAATCAGTAACCTTGATGTGAGTGAAAAGGGGTTTAGCTGCATCTGGCTACAGGTGGCCCCAGCTTCACTATTTAATGAACGTCTGCTCTGTCGCGTTTTGGCATCTCATTTTGCTGCCTAATAACTGGTCTTTAAACAGACATTCAGTGAGCCATTCAATTTTCTAAATGCATTTTCCTGATGCACCTTGATTAGGAAAGAACTTGTTTGGAAAGTGAATTCCCGGGATCGAGGAGCATCAGAAGCTTGTATCTTGCGACTGGTGTGTTCATGAAGTCGGTGATCAGTGACAGTACATTGCCCCATTTTTTACAGATGGATTTTTGCTGTCAGTGAATTCCTTGAGAAACATCCTTCCTCTGAGTAAATATGCGTGGGCCACACACTCACTGTCACGATGATAGTGTGTCTGCCAGTCTTCCTTCCAGAATACAGTTAAGACTTCAGGCCAGACAGGCTTCTGTGCAAATATTTATTTTCTGCTTTATTAACAGAGGTGTTTCTGGGAAAGCACAGAGGATTCCACCGCTTGTCATGTTTTCAGTTAATGAGTGTTCCAGTACAAACTTAAATGATAGATAAAGATATGTGTAGGTACAGGGGCGTTGCTAGAGATTTTGGGCCCCATGAAAGCATATCATATTAGGCCCCCCAGTCCAAACCAATCCAGTTATTTTCCTAATTTTGTAGGGCCCCTGTCACTCAGGGGCCCTTGGAATCGTCCTAGCTTTCCTCCCCCTTACGGCGCCCCTGTGTAGGTATGGATACCCCATGTTCTTATATCCAGTCCGTTAATAACATATGGCTTTGACCCTAGTGATTGATTCAACTCTCATTAAAGAATATCTGTTACTTTCCAGTGAAATCCATGTCTCCTTTTGTGGAAAGCATCTTGGTCTCAATCCCCTACCCAGATCATCTCAGTGATGTTCTGTTGGCTTAAGAGCAGGTTTCCATGCTGATTCACTACAACATCAACAGGTACATTAATGCTGTTTGTACTGTTGGGATGTTCCTCAGAGTCCATTTCTGTGCCTTTAAAAGGTACAATTACAAGGGTACCAACCCTAGTGACAATACAAGGTACTAATTTTCATATTTTTTTTCTGAGAGTGTACATTGATGATGGTGATGATGATAATGAAGATGTTTGGAGAGTTTACATTATTGACATTTATTCCACAGTAGGTTAACATGCAAGTTTGTCCATCCCAGACAAATTCATTTGCAGTTTATTCCAGCATATAAGCTGAAGACGTGTACATTTTCCCAAGTATAGGTGCTTAGTTGGAGAATGGCTCAGTCTTTGGCAGAAACCTTTGTGTGTGTTTGTGTATTTGCAGTCAGACTTTCACTTTGAGTACACAGAGTGTGACGTTCTGGGCTCCCGCTGGCGGGTGGCTGTCCCTAATAAACCAGACACCTGCACGGGCCTGCCGGACCCAGTGAGAGGCACCGAGTGCTGTAAGTCTAACCCTTGCCTGACTTCACAATCACTCCAAAATACTTGCATTCAGCTAACACTCTTATGAGACACATTCAGTTTCACTTATGTATCAGTTTATACAGTCAGGCTGTGGTTTCAGCAGTTCATGGGAAGTACCCAGCTGACTTGGTATTCTCTGGGCTGCAGTCTTCCTTGATTAGCTGTTAGCCTGTTAATAAGACTATTAGCATTGAAGCAATAGCTTGTTAAACATTATCCATTAGCCTACTAGCCATTAGGCCTTACCTGCTACCTGTTTCAATTCATTAACTGTCAGGCAATAAGCCATGTGCCTTGAGCTTGCTCTCTCCATCCACCCGCCAGCATTCTCCTGCAAGGCTGGCGAGTTTCTGGACATGGAGACACAGGAGTGCCAGAAGTGTGCCGCTGGAACATTCTCACTGGGGACTGGAGTGTGGTTTGATGACTGGGACCACCTGCCAGCTGGCTTCTTCAGCTATGGTGCAGATACAAGCATGGGGACTGCTGTCTCCAACTGCTCCAAGTCAGTGTCACGCAGGAAAGCAGTGGGTGTGCAGTGGGTGGTGGCTTTGGAGGGACTGCACACAAAACTGTTGTGCAGGAAACATAATGTGGCTCATCGCTAAGACCACCACTGATGCTCACTGGCTTAAAGGGATGCAAGTCGGCTGCAGAAAAAACAATTGTGTGACAAAAGAATAGTTTTTCATTAGGCTGTCATGATTTTTTTGTACAGTAGATTCCCTTTCAATGCAACTGAAGTACCTACAAAATCATCTCAATTGCAGATTTAGTAATGATTTATTATTTTGCAACGTAAATGGTTTACTTTAATCCAAAGTAATTTACAAGTTTATCCATTTATACAGCTGAATATTTTACCTAGTTTTTGAAAGGTTCTACTACTTGTTTTGCAATTATGTTCTTCCAGAATGCACAGTGGCTATGTGTGAGGAAAAACAAATTTACTAATGAAACAGTAACTCATCATTTAGGTTCATTCTGAGTTTCCCTCATTTTGATGTTCAGCTCTATTTTCAAGCTTCACTCTCTATTACAGCTCAACCTGGCTTCCAAAGGGCGACTACATCGCATCGAACTCTGACGAATGCAGCTCCACTTTGACTTACGCGGTTAACCTCAAGCAGACAGGCTCCGTCTCCTTTGAATACTTCTATGCTGACAACAGTGTCTTCTTTGAATTCTATGTGAGTTCTTCAGTTTCCACCTGAGTTCTCTACTATTTTTCACCTCAAGCCCTAAGGGCTGGCTTTTAGCACCATTTATAAGAGTCTGCAGTTCAGACGTGGCTAAAATATTCAAGTTCCTGTTTCAGAAGCACGATCTGGTCAGAGTGGGCAGGATTGCTTCTGGACCTAGCCGTGCCATATTCTATTTATTTCGTGCTCGGTTTAATCCCATGCCATACTTAAGATTAGTCATTGTGAGTTAGCTTTTTTTTAAAAAAAAAAGCCTTGTAAGTAGTACAGGAGACTAAATCTTGTGTAAACATAAGTGTTTGGTTTTACTTATATCAGGATAAGTAAAGTGGCCAGCGTGTTTTCCCTGTGACCTTGGTTAAATGAAGACGTGACACAGCCATGAAAGCTTTTTTACTGTGGTTCATAAGCATGATACTGCAGATCAGTTGTACTGCGAGAGCATGTTTAGCTTTGGTTGGGCTACAATTTGGAGGAACCAACCCACAGAGGCACGAAAACCCGAAAGCTGAGTGGCAGCTGGGCCTCAGTGACCTCAGTGACATTCCTACAGGTCCAGAACGACCAGTGTCAGTCCACAGAGTCTGAGAGCAGGTGGATGAAGAGCACACAGAGCGACTGGGACACACACTACGTGAGTCTGATGCTCTGGCCTCACACTGCAGCTTGCTGTCCGGGTGCCTGCTGAGGTGGGAGGAGAGCAGGGCATGCTGGATGAGCATGTGACACAGAAATCCATCCCCCTGTAGGTGGAGCTCAGCCATGGAAACAATGTGCTGTACTGGCGGACCACTGGTTTCTCCATGGGGACAAGCTCAGTCAAACCAGTGCTGTTACGCAACGTTGCCATTAAAGGTACAAACCATAACCTCAAGCAGACAGGCTCCGTCTCCTTTGAATACTTCTATGCTGACAACAGTGTCTTCTTTGAATCCTATGTGAGTTCTTGGTTTTGCTTTTTCACCTCAAGCCCTAAGGGCTGACTTTTAGCACCACTTATAAGAGAGTCTGCAGTTCAGATGTGGCTAAAATCTTCAAGTTCCTGTTTCAAAAGCACGATCTGGTCAGAGTGGGCAGGATTGCTTGTGTGTAATGTGGTACGCCCATAGGGGTCACTTACATATCTGAGTGCTTTCACTGCAAGCCTAGATAGCCCTGTGTGTAATGTGGTCTGCCCTAGGGGTCGCTTACACATCCGAATGCATTCACTGCAAGCCTAGATAGCCCTCTGTATAATGTGGTAGGCCTGCAGAGGTGGCTTACACATCCGAGTACTTTCACTGCAAGCCTGGATAGCCCTGTCTGTAATGTGGTCTGCCTGCAGAGGTGGCTTACACATCCGAGTACTTTCANGTATGTAAGTATGTATATGTATATATGTGTGTGAGACAGAATGAAAATGTTTGTTTTGAATTATTTAAATCTACACAATGATCTTATTTGATCAGGTTGGAGTCTGGCCTTACTCTAATACTGAGATGATAAAAAACGACGCGCTAGCCAACTAGGCGGTGTGCGTGTATGTCACCGATTCGAAGGCTTTTTATGGTTTAGAGATGATGAATTGATCAGATATACTAGTGCCGAGTGGCTCGCGGGGATCCCGCGTCCGTTTCTCGGGCCATGAGTATAAAGGCGATTCTGATCTAACCATTGTGCCGAATCGGTGTGGGCCCTGCTCTAAATGTAGATTACTGATTATCATTTGGAGTATTTCTATGTAAAGACGGTAAGGCTGGCAAGGAAAGGGTAAAGTTTCTCCTTACTGAAATACCAGATGAAGTATCTTACACTCGATCAAAGTTTATTCTCGATACAACAATTAAGGTCAAGTTTTTATTTCGCCAGTAACTTTACTAACGGTTTGGGATCTGTGTTGTGAGAGTTCACTAAACTGTTGTCTGAATATTTTTATGCTGATCGGAGTGGTAATCCATGTGATTCAACCTAGCATCAAACTTTCAAGAGCTTTTTATTATTTAAGCAGCGACTGTGCATCGAACCACTCCGAGAGTAGCACGTGAATACGTTAGGTGGAGTAGAATCCGCCGCCCTCCTTTCTCGAGTAGCCCCTGTTTGTGGAGGCGTTATGGTGGCTCTCTGTTGAGAAAAACAACCAAGTTGTTAATAGGCTTTTCTTTAGTCTGCCGCACCCCCCATTTAAATCTTGTTTTCCTACTCAAAACGATTCAGTAGGCTCGGTAAACACCATGCCGGCCTTCCCATCATTACTAGTCAGAACGCCATCGCCTTTGTTTAAAAGCTGATCTCATTACGCTTAATCCTACCAAATAAGCAAATTGTGAAGCTTGACACAGACCGTTGCCAATATTGAAGGTATAGTTTGAGACAAATACACGCATTTGGAGAAGTTATGAATAACCTTAGAGTTCATAAAATAAAATTGGTTTAACGTGAGCAGCAGGAATGTGTCGTGATGGCTCAGGGCGGTTTCGTATTCCACCTCCCTGTGTGTGGAGTTTGCAGAGAAACGCAACAGAAAAACAACATACAGTCCAAAGACATACTTTGTCTGGCGGACTATCTCTACATTGACTACAGAATGCTGTTGTGCTCCACCCCCGTCATTAATATTAGGTTCTGCTGAAATGAGAGAAAAAATATCAGAATATAATGTTTGTGTGTTTCTGTTTAATAATAAAATGAGAAAATTAAATGTATTCTTACCGATTGTTCCTTTGATGCTGTAAATGGACAATTTCTGGGGGTTAACCCACATTTGTATTTGAGCTGTCGCACCGCTGTTCCTGGGTGGATCTTCCTCCGCCGGAATTGTTAGAATTCTCCTGGAAAGTTGAATATTTTATGCGTCTAACATCAAAAATTGTGATCGTACAGCATTGACTGGTGGATTATATGGGGGGCGGGTGGTCATGCTGAAAAATACTGTATTTTGAGCTGATCTGTCACACCTGCGGGGTCTCCACTTTTGAGTTGCTGTGAAAAAGGCTGATATGCGGTCATTACACGTTTCCCCGTTATTGTACAGGTAAATATCAAAGTAATTTTCTGCATTGCTGGATGATTTTTCCCCACTCTTACTGCACACAACACAATAACATGTTGCAAAGACAGTATTCATGCTGGAGTTTTAAGTATGGTTAAAGTATACTAAACACTTTTCAATGACTGCCGCAAAAGTGTTTAAATGCAGAAAATAACACGTAGAAGTTACCCATCGTCATTGCTGAAGGTCTCCTTCTGAAACAGGGTCTGGTTTTTGGTCCTCAGAAATTCTTGGTGGTGATCATAGGTAGCCTTTAGATGTAAATCCAGGCTGTCCCTTGGAACCTGAAAAGGTAGGTCTTTGTAGTATGTACGATCCAATATTCTAATCTTATTTTCCTGTAATATTTTACAATATATGAAACGGATTCAATTGTTATAGCCTATACCCCTGCGTCGTGGTGGAAAACGCCGCGTCTGGAACTAGCCAAGGTTGCGCTCTCACTTAAACGGCACCACGGCTGGTCATTTTGAGCAAGATGCACGGGTTTGTTGTAGGGCAGCTTCTGTTAAAATTAGAATAACGTGGAAAGGCAACGAGAAGCGAGTAATTTAATGTTCAGCATAGCTCCGTTTCAACATGGCTAGCAAGCGCTTTTCGATGGTAGACAAAAAGTAGCCTCGATTTACCTGACACTCCCGTTTACCAGTGAACGTGTTATCATTTTCATATTTAAGTGGCGGGAAGGGATCCCGATGGCTTGGCATTTTGGATATATGCTGTTGCTGCTTGAATAAAACCTATCGGGCTCCGTACTTATGTCACGTTGTCCGCGGGAATGTTTGCTGTCGCTTCATACGGTTGCTAAGAGATGCGCCGCAGCTCGCTCCAGTCCTACAGTTGTTTTGCACGGTGTTTCTCGGAGGTCCTGCTATCTTTGGTATAAATAGGTTAACAGACGTTTTACCTAAATGAAAATACTGTTGCGCGTACGTAGAAAGCATTTCGATGAAGAGGCTAATGCATAATTTCAGGCTCGCACCGGCAATATTTTAACGAAAATGGTACGCTTCGTTTGAAGTGTGCGTTATATGAATTATGAATTATGAATAAAGTTCTATTAATGTTTTCCGCAACCATATACTTCTACAATGTATAAAAAGATCATTCTGTTGGTCATTCTGTAAACGCATAGGATTAGCGAGACGTTCCTTAAATCCTCCGTCTTTGTTTACTTGCTGTTAAAGCTACTCTGCTGCTACCACCCAGATAACTCTAGGTAACTTTGTTTAAGGGGTTATCTTTATAAATGTCCCAAGAGACCAAGAGGTGAACAGTAGGCTCACAGTAAGCCTCACATTGACTCTGATGCACCTGTTGGATTCGGCACTTTCCGCCTAAGCCGAGCGTCTACGACACCGTTAAAGTACATGAACAGCAGCGTATATAGCTCTGAGGTTAGTCCTGACTGGATATTGCAAGGAGGAGCCGTGTCCTGGACACATCATTTTGGACTTCTCCCGCTCTTCCCGATTTTAGTAAACCTTCTCAGGACACAATGCAGACTCATCCTAAAAATGTTTGGCAGTTTTCATGTCACATTTGGTGTTTTTTTCTTTTTGCATTAGAAATTAAAGCGAGAGATTTGCCAATGTGTAAGGAGGTAAGGACTTTTGCTGGAATTGAAAGTGGTTTTGGACATCGGTTATTACAATTAACCTGTAACATTGCCGTATGAAGTCTATACATAAAATACATCTACTTGCATGTATTTCTACATAATTATTAGGCAGCTGTCGCGTTTTTGGGGCTAGTTTTTTTGTTTTTCATTTGCAATTTGAATTCACTCTAATCCAATATTATAATTATTGTTGTAATGAACCTGAAAGTAAATCTACCAGCGCTAGCTGCAATGCCACGCTCGTTTAGCGACATATGGTAACTGCGGATTTCCACGAGGAACTTCAAGCAGCTGGAACCGAATTGACTTATTTACTGCTGCCAACATATCAGGAGTTGTAAATTGTTTACCACGGTATATGTAATTAAACGCATAAGAAAAATAAAATAGGTCAATATAGGCTTCATGTTAAAGAATAATCACATATTAAATGGTCCAGAGGCGTGCGAAATATATATAAACAATTATATTAACTTGTTTTCTATAGTATCATCGCTTTAGGTAGAAACGTTAACTTTTCAGTGACTCTACATAAACTTATATTGCACTGAATATACCGGCGCTCTGTGGTTAATGAATGAGCCTTTCAAAACAGCGCGATTCTGCCGTCTGCAGAAGATGCTGTCCGACGGGACCCTTACAGTCGGAGTGAGCGTCGTGTGTCACCATGACACGGCAACTCATTTACTTCTCTGTAAATTTTCGTTATACCAGGATGTCGTTATAAAAGTCTCAATGGAAAACAGATTCATATCTAAACCGCTATTTATATATCGGATACGTTCCTTGCAGTTTTCAGGTTCGCTCGGCATAAAAGATGCTCCTCAGTGTTTGGTTAATGTGTTTGGGAATAGTACGGATCTGATGTGACCGCATTCCCTTTGTAAGACTTACCTTCCTGATGTGTTTGTTAGAAGTTGTTCTTTTTTGAGTATTTTTGCAGAGTTGAAAGCAGTTTGTAATTTACCCATCACCCATTATAATAATTAGCATTATTAGCAGTATCTGGGTCAATTAAAGATTTTTGCACTTATAATGTGTACCGCGTGTTGCTTAGCCATGGGTGTTTTTTGAAATTGATTTAGAAAATGAAAGGTTGAACAGTTTATTATGTACAGTATGTGTCCTTGTTCAATGACTTCCGTTAACAATTGTGGATTATCAGTTGCTTATCAGTACAAATAAAAGCAAACGAATAATTATTGTTTTATGTTTGGCAGGTATAGGCATTGATAGCCTGTTTTTGCTATCTGGCCCTGTGGTAATGCAGGAGTTAATAGCCTACCAGAGAAGGGATCTTATCTCTAGGTGTGTCTGTGTCATACCATATAAGCAAAAATGTGTGAATCCGGCAGCTGCTTTACCTGCAGTGAGAAAGGTTGGAGTCAGGATTTCCCAAGGATGTCTGATTCCTGTCCTCTAAGCTAACACAGAGCGGATGTGCTACCTAGAAAGGCCACAGGTTTGCAGAAGGATTCATTAAGCAAAGACGAAAATAAGAAAAGTAGGTCACATGCATGTGACACAAAAATGTCTAAAGCATGCCTGTGCTGCCAGCCTGTGTTGCCAGCCTGTGCTAACCCTAATACATGGGAGTCTCTGGGCCGAAACATAGCTCTTCCACTAAGATTTGGCCTCAGCTACCTTCAGTTAATAAAAAATAAAATGCTGTGTCCCGTTTGGAGCCAGTACAGGACACGATTTGTCCTGTGTTTCAATGTTTGGACTGAAATACAATCTAACTTGTACCATGAGACCAATCACCCCCAACAATTTTTCTTGTTGGGACCCCCCCCCCCCAACTCAAACAGCCCAGGGGCATCAGCCCAGATTAACATGCCTCCTGTCAATTCCTGTCCTATTTGCTTAGTAGTTGCAGTGGTGCGGAGTTCGTTAGGTTAATATGAGCTCTGCTCTTGACAAAGGTGTGAGCTCATGTGCCGGTGGTTGGCCTGCTGCTTGCTTTCTGCTTTTTGCTTTGAGGGTAGTCTTACTGAATAGCTGTTAAAGCACCCTCCACTTTTGTTGCTGTTGTGCTTTGAAGTGTTTTATCACTAAATTAAGAATCTGCCCGTTTTAAAAATCAGGTGTCTTGGAACATTTTCTTTCTTGCAAAATAATCAAATAACTGGGTAAGATTTCAGTGTTGTATTCAAAGTCTTTACCTCTTTTAACCATTGATTTCTGTTCTCCTTGTTTTGTAAGATTTTCTCTAGTTTTCTCATGAAAAGATGACTGTTGTAAAATGTTAACTGGACATCTATCCCGCCTCATCCATAATGGTGACAAACAGTGACCCTGTAGGTCCATATTCTGAAAAAGACACAAGTGTGTATGTATACAGCGCCCTGTGGGTGGCGATGTGCAGTAGCCTGCAGTGTGTATGTATTCAGCCCCCTGTGGGTGATGTTGTGCAGCACGCCTGCAGTGTGTATTTATTAAGCCCCCTGTGGGTGATGTTGTGCAGCATGCCTGCAGTGTGTATTTATTCAGCCCCCTGTGGGTGATGTTGTGCAGTAGCCTGCGGTGTGTATGTATTCATCGCCTTGTGGGTGATGTTGTGCAGTAGCCTGCAGTTTGTATGTATTCATCGCCTTGTGGGTGATGTTGTGCAGTAGCCTGCAGTGTGTATTTATTCAGCGCCCTGTGGGTGATGTTGTGCAGCACGCCTGCAGTGTGTATTTATTCAGCGCCCTGTGGGTGATGCTGTGCAGCACGCCTGCAGTGTGTATGTATTCAGCGCCCTGTGGGTGATGTTTTGCAGTACGCCTGCGGTGTGTATTTATTCAGCGCCCTGTGGGTGATGTTGTGCAGTACGCCTGCGGTGTGTATTTATTCAGCGCCCTGTGGGTGGTGATGTGCAGTACGCCTGCGGTGTGTATGT